ATGTCAAAATAGAATCCAATTATATAGATGTAGAAATAATGGCTCAGTTTTATGGAATCGTGTCATTTGTAGGGTTGAAGCTAGGAGGCGATGAGCTAGGCCTGACGCAGCCGAGTTCTGTCAAGATCTGTGGGAATTTGGCGCACTGGTTTGTGATTAGTGACTTCATTTCTGACACAGAGATATCGACCTAGAAATTGCGGTTGATTAATATGACGCTAATATGACAAGAAGTGCAATATTTCTTAAAATTTACTCAGCGATTCTAAAGTACATAAGTAAGTATTGTAAATATTATCAGAGAAGTTGAGTCAGAAGGAAACACGGCCCCTAACTTACATGTAGGTTGGTATTTAGAGATAAAATTTATATTAGAAGAACCCCTTCCACAAGCATTATAACCTGTTAAGTAAACTACAGTATTAGCACTGTGCCTAACAAGAGCATTCAGTGAGAGCATATCTCCCTTTCTAAAATAAATCTCCCAAAATGTTTCTAATTTACTTCAACCGCCACCACTACCCCAACTCACTTCACTCCGCTCCTCTTCAAGAATACACAGTAACTCGCCCGAACATTTTTTTTTTATTTCAAAGAGGGGCATTATTTCCACTTTTAGTCTGGGTTTTTGGGGACACTTTTTTAGAGAGGGCATTTTTAAATAATCATCATCCACATCCTACTTCGGATCGTAACCAAAATTTAAACGCTTCTTCATTAAAACATGACAAACTATTCTGGAAGTCGAATTTTGATCCATTGATCCATTTTAGAGATATTAAGGTCTAGGAATAATGGCCCACAAATGCACACCCGAATGGCCAAATGGCCCACAAATGCACACCCAAATTTGGATCGTCACCAACACTACATAATTTCTTCCTTGTACCTTGGTTAAACTATCACGGAAGTTTCATTCAGATCATTATAGATTCTAAAATATCTGGTCTGGGACACTTTTTTTTGAATGGTACTCATTTCCACACTACTCCAGATGGTCACCAACATTTAAACATTTCTTCATTGAAACATGACAAACTAATCTGTGTAGTGCTATTTAAATCCACTTATTATTTTTAGAGATATTAGGTCTGGGACCTTAGAATTTTAAATGATCCTCAAATTCACACCCGAATTTGGATAGTTACCAACACTTAATAATTTCTTCCTTGTAACGTGGTTAAACTGTCACGAAAGTTTCAATTCAGATAAGTTGATTATTTTCTTGAAATATTTGGTCTGGGACGTTTTCCTTTAAAATGGTTCTATCCACACCCTACTCCAGGTCGTCACCAAAATTTAATCACCTCGTCCTTGGGTCACACCGCAGCTGTTTTTGAGATATTTTGAACACATGAAACACGCACGACCTTCCTTAGAAATGTAAATGACCCTCAAGTTCACACCCGAATTTGGATCGTCACCAACACTTAATTTTTCTTCCTTGTTAAACTTTTACAAAAATTACATTCGTATTAGTTGATTAGTTTTTATTTTTTTTATAAATATCTTGCGCTTAATTGCTCTTAAATAATTGGTCCCAACACATCCACACCCTACTCCGGACTGTTACTAAAAATTTAATTATTTCTTCATTGAGTTATATCTAACACTTCAGGTTATTTTCAATTATGTCTATGCAGCCGTTTTTGAGATATTTTGAACACACCCACACACCCACACACACACACACACACACACAAACACACGAAAACACCAAAAAACGTGACACACACACAGAAACTTACACGACTGAAAACATATATCTCCTGGCGGAGATAATAATAACGATAGGAAAGATAGCAAACATAATGTGCCCCAATTGGCGCCTGTATAGGCAACAGAAAGTCTCGGGTCAAATCCCGGTTGGGGCAACGTTTCTAGGGAAATCGCTCTTAGACTTGAGTTTTGTTAAAGATGTAGGCCCTATTGTCCCATTCTAAATACCAAAAAAACTCATAAAAATATTTTTTGAAATTAACTTTTTGAAGTAACATAAAAGTTATCAACTTGAACTTAGAAATTAGTGTATTTAAAAATGTCTACCAATCAGTTTACAGCGAAAAATGATAGAAACACTTCCAGTCCGCTGGAAGTGTTTTATCATTTTTATTATAATTTTTTTGGTTTAAAAATCAGGGTACACATTTTTTTAATTCAATAAGTTTTATGCACAAGTTAATAATTTGTATGCTATTGCAATATGAGCAAGTTTATTTCAAAATTATTTTTATGATTTTTTGACATTAGCAAGGGACAATACATCTTCATCAGCTCCAAAACGATCAACACATCTTTAAGACAGTGACGTTGGGACACAAAGTCATCGTCGTAGTAATTAACGCAATTTATAGGCAACATATTATATGGTCATTATATACCTCATCACAGTTACCATCACCCAGCGGCGTAGAGATGAGAACGGGCCCCAGTGTAAAACTTATTGCCAGGGCCTTGAATGTGAAGCGTGAAAACCCAGGGGCCGTAGGCCTGAGTTATGAAGAGTGGGTGGAGGAGATGGAGTTGGGAGCCGTCAATTTCATTGACGGGTCCAGGAATTGGAAATAGAGAGACAGGGAGAGACTTTACCTTTCTGACCACCTCAACCCCTCCATGTTTGGTTGAGGTAAGACATTATAATGGCACCAGATGGCCGGAAATGGCACTCTTAGACTTAAAGAGAATATAATTTACTTTTTTCTCTATTATTTTCATAATTTTGAAAAATGTAAGGGGCCCGGACCACTGGTCTTACTTGAATCAACTACAGAATTGTTCCCGGTGGGGTAATAGTATCACCGAATGCTCCGACGTTTTAAATTTTCAGGAGCCTTATTTTGAATTTAAAGAATGAGAAGTCTAGGACTAGGTTATTTATTCATTTTTCATGATTCATGGCCTTTAATAAATAATAATGATAATTGGAATATTCGTACTATTTCAAAAGGGGCCTATGTGGTCTCAGAAGTTAAACTAATAAAAACAAGTTGGTGGCAGGTAAAATTAAACAGTTGGAGTAGGCTTTATAACATCATCACCATCATCATCATAATCATAATCATCATCATCATTATCATTATCAATGTCATGTATGAGTATGGAGATATTTATACCAGATGATCTCAATGACATTAGCGTTATAAGTTTGCTTGCTTAATACGTATCCTCGCAGCTTTTACTACTGCGCATAACTATGTCAAGGTCAAAGTATATAAGCAAGCATAATACTGCGGATACATCATGTGCATTTATTGAGTTTTAATAACAAATTTCCAAGATTGATTTCATGCACTATTCGGCAATTGTTTACCTTATAGAGACTAACAATTTCATATTAATAACGATACACAAAAAGGCATACGATACGATTTTGAGTGTTGCTTATAAGCCTTGACCTTCAAAATAGTCATGTACAGTTGTACTACTAGACGGTGTATTATATCACCAACAATAAACCTATAAAAGACTCGACCTGTTGGGATCGTTCACAGCCTGATCATCATAATAATGAGTATCTTATGCGGAAGATGGACTTCTCCGGGAAATAACGAGTGTTCCACGGAACTCGAATATTTATCTAAGCATCATCAACTTAAAGAAATTGTCTTACATTTCGGGAAAATGTGTATCCCTCATTTGTCACGTGGTTTACACAAAGAACGTACAGACACGAGTCTGTCCGTAAGTGCTGTAAGTGTTATGAAACAGTTGCTATGCGACCATCAGCCTTGATCAACTTCATATCGTTGTAATAACTATGACGTCACCCGAAAGATCGACAAGCGATCGAGTCTTCATCGCATTTGTGGCATGGATACGAAATGATCAATGCATGAAACAATGAGAGGAAAATCAATTATATTGGAGTAGGTGAGGTATGGGGGGTCGGCGCATTATATTATGACAATCCTGAACCGATGGGCCTCGACTGAAGCAAGATAAAATACCAGTAGTAGGTGCTAACCAGTGGCGTATTCAAGTGGGTGGGGGGGGGGCGAGGGGGCTTCCCCACCATATTTTTTACAAAATTATAATAAAAATGGAGAAAAAAAAAAATAATAATATTTAAATTAAAGTCTATGAGTGCCATTTCTGACCAACAAGAGGTGCCATAATTATAAATTTTCTGACCTCAGCCCCAACCATGGTGGTATAGACCCACTATCTGTGAAAGTCCTCCCTCCCTACCCCTCTCCTCTATTTCAAATTCGTGGATCCGCCACCGCCACTGGTAGCATCTAGTAGAGAGGACGAACCCATTACAATCACATCATTACATTATGTACTCTCTATTTTAACTATCAAAACTAAACATAAAACGAAATATGAACCACATGTACAAAATTACACACCTACTGTACATTGTGCATGTAAGTTTCTGTCTCTTATACACATCTAGATGTGTATAAGAGACAGATATTATATGGTCATTATATACCTCATCACAGTTACCATCACCCAGCGGCGTAGAGATGAGAACGGGCCCCAGTGTAAAACTTATTGCCAGGGCCTTGAATGTGAAGCGTATATAGGCCTATATATGTGTGTGTATGTATGTACTATATTAATAATCAAATATAATATAATATAACAAATATATAACAATATACAGGCTTCTAAATTCATAAGCATATTAAGGCCTATAGATATGGCCCATGTGTAGGCCTATGTGTAATGGGCATACATTTAAACTCATAAATTCGAACATTGTTTATTTTTTCATAATAGGTCTTATAATCTGGGACTAAATAATCTGTTAAAAAATTACTTTTATATTTACTTTACTTTATTATTACTAAATATTTAAAATGGTAATAAAATGTGATAGTGATACTTGTTGATAATCGTGAAAATCATCATGATGAAACTGACAAAGGTATCAATGTTTTTATTAATCACAATTTGCTATTATTTATCATAAAGTACCACTGATAATATTTAGTATTATGAAAGAAAAAACAAAACAAAACAAAACAAAAAACAAAAATCGATTGTCTTACTGGTGATTTCACGGGAACATATATTACGTCATCGAAGCTTCCTTCGGAGTTTCCCTCTTTATCCTTTTCTGGTCCCAATTTAAATCCTTTTGCTTTTAACCAAAAACGAAATTTAGCATTTTCCGTGGTCGCAGGTTCGTCACCTCTGAGAAAGGCGGCAATCCGGTTATATTTTTTCTGTGTAACAGTCTTCGTTTTGGCACCTTCGCCATAATTTAATTCGGCCCAAGTCTGGTATGTTCTCTTTATCTCATCCTTAGTAAGCACTGGATCCATTGCCGACATCTTTATTGCTTTCGTTTCGAACTGACACGCAATGAAGTTAATATTCTGCGCGGGTCGGTCCAGTAACGCTTTTATTACCTTTACCGTCGAGAAACGTTCGTTGGACAGATATGGGGAGAAGATTGCTTTCAAGCCGTGTGCCGATTCGTTTCACCTGCTAATAGTTTTCGCTACACGGTGGCTAGCACGGTGAAAATACTATAGCAGCCATCAAATATTCAGGTTTCGGACAAAATGACTTGAATACATAATGAGCACGTTACGAGGGGCCTTGTACATTGACTATCGGCCGGATGGTAACGCGTGTGCTGATTGGCTAGCGGAGACAAAAGTATCTATGTGACGTCACGTCGATGCCAGCTGTCCCATTTTGGAATATTTCATATTCATATCATTACTGTAATATACGCGGGGAATTTCTCGCTTGGCGGATTTCAGGTGGAATTGAGTCGTGTGGCTTGTATAGGCTTATCGATCGACGTAATTACCACGAACGTCCCGGGCTAAGCGTTCGCAAGCAAGGACTTGACGTAGTTCTCCATTTTAGATAATAACAAAATCCTTGTAACTAGCATTTATGATAGGCAATTACATCGGCTAGGCCGGTCTTTAGCTTGGTGATTGGAGCGCGCGACGGTTGGTTGGGAACGCGTATCGGTTTACGTACCAGCGACTCTGTGGTATACCATTTTTGTGCCAATATAAAGGTCGCTCATGAAGCGGCAATTTCCTTTTCACTTGGCCAAGCAGAATCGATAAACGAAGCAGTTTGACTTCTTGTATGCTTGGAGACGTGATATTACTGCGTTTTATAAACATCATATAGCATAAAAGGCCTATTATTAATATTATTCTAGGCCTAGGCATCATAATTCCATTATTTCTTCCCTATCATAATTCTGCAAACTACCATAGGCCAAAAATGCACAACGGATTATTTCATCTTTCTCTTTCTTCGTGACCTTGAAAAGATGATTATATTTCGTCCCGTTTAAAATAGAGATTTTATCCACTTACAATCACCTAGAATATAACCTGTATTCGTCGGAGATATATATCTTTGCGTTTGTATTCCAATGAAGAAATATCTTTTAATAGTACTTTTAAGTCTATTAATTCATTAAGCTTATGAAATCATAATTCTCCGCCTTATCATGTTATGTAGGACTATACATAATATATAATTTTATATATAGGCATAACAAGATAAAGCAGAGAAATATAACATATTATTTAATGATTCATATATAATAGGCCTACTAATAGTAAGACTAGTAATAATAATATTAGAGACCTCTAGGTGTTTATACATAAAAGAAAAATATAGCTTTAAAACGAGTTTCGACTCTTTATACACCTAGGTTTCCCCCACGTATCTCAATCCACGTAATTGCCAAATTAAGGTCTCTATTGTTTAAAGACCCCTCCAACCACCTCTCTGTGGGCCCAAATAAACATCTATCATTTATCTTCATAATAATAATAATAATAGTTGTTCTGATTAAAGGCCAAAACTGCTAAAGACCTGGAAAACCCAGATTCCAAATATGCGGTAGTCTTTGACTGGAGTCAGGCCTGTATTATCACCTTTATCATAGTGTCAACACAATAAATTAGGTAATGAAATGGCTTTGGTTGGATCGGTAAATAGTTTAGTTTTAGTGCAGCCTCAAGCGGCGTCCCGGCGACATGGTGGTTTATGCCAGTTGCCAGTCTGGTGAGAGGAGGGGTAGTGGTGAAGGGTCGTGGAATTGTCTCCAAACCCTCCGCTGGTGCTATAAATGCATTTCCTGTATTTGATTTATGCTGATAATCCCAGTCTTTATATGTTGTTTCTTGAATTCTATTGAGTGTTTCGTTAAAACTCACTTTTCATTAATTATGCCTCGCTTTCCTTACGGCATCATTAATTATTCTCTTCCTACCATTATTACTCCCTTTGTCTTATACTGATGTTTTGTCATGATCTGGCATTGCATTGCTCTTTCTATTCCGAATTTGTAAACTCGCCTGTATTGCCAGTTTCGGTTCATTTCATCTTATCTAAACTGAATCTCTGTCCATTGTACCATTCCTCCTAATTATATTTCAGTTCTTTCATCTGGTACCTTAAAAATAGTTTGGTGCTTTGTTCAAAAGCCTTTTGTGTATCGACTATCCATCGTTTTCGCTCTTTTCATGGTTATGGTCGGTGAAGCTGACCTCCAGGACCAGGGGTGGCGCCAAGATTTGCCTGACGGGGGGGGGGGCGTTTTCCCCAATAAGGGGTCAGATTTACCCGACGAAAGAAATGCGGGCCTGGTCGAGCTTCTATTAAAAGGTTTCGAAAGTGTTCCAGGGGGCAAAGCCCCCGAAAATATTTAGGGGGTTTCAAAGGCTTATTTAATCGATTTTAGAGTCTACTAATATGTAGAAAATACATATAAATTTTTTTCTCCCCGAAGAATTTTGCTTTTTCTCCCTGACCGGGGAGGGCTGTTTCCCCTCCCCCAGTCGGGGCAAAAAAGCACAAGCAGAATATATCTAGATGTGTTAAGAAAGCCCATTTAAACAGATCTCCCGGATGCGGAAATGAGAAATGAAGTTGAAATTGCAACAAAAAGAAATGTCGCTAATACACGTATAAAGTTTAAAAAAAAAAAACAACACGAGAAATCAATATATTTTTAATGAAGAGGAAAAAATGAAGTGGAAAAAAAAAAAAAAACGAAAACCAGGTTCACTACGACGTTATTAGTGAGACTTCAACTATGGCTGCAATGGTAATAGCGAACATCGCGACTCATAACCATTGCGCGCCATATGAGCCGGCCTTGCATAGGAAAGTGCATTTTCAGTTCATAACGATGCAATGACTGAAAGCAAAAATTGTACATGTATATCACGTTAGTTTTGAGTTTAACCATGGAGGAAATATATTTCCTCCATGGTTTAACCTAGCTGTAACTGGTTTAAGCGCTTTAGATAACGCAAATTGCGTTTAAATTAGGATCAGTTGACCCTGGGACGTTTTCCTTTAAATGGTCTTCATATTCACACCTTACGCCGGATCATCTCAAAAATTCAGTCATTTCTTTACTGGACATTTACAAACTATTATAGAAAGTTTCATTTACACCCATTGAAAACTTTTTATAGATATTTACGTCTGGGATCTCAAAAAATTAAATGACCCTCTAATTCACACCTTTGACTGATTCGTCGCCAGCACATAATACTATCTTCCTTGTAACTTGGTTAAACTTTTTCTGAATGTTTCATTCAGATTAGTTGATCCGTTTTCGAAATATGTGGTCTGGGACGTTTTCCTTTCAATGGTCCTCAGATCTACACCCTATTCCAGATCGTCACAAAAATTTAATTATTTTTTTACAAGACCTTTACAAAGTATTGTAGACTCTTTCATTTAGACCTATTGGTTTTTTTAAAGAGATATTTAGGTCTGGGTTCTCTAAAATTGAAAAGACCCTCAAATTTACACCCTTCACTGGATCGTCACTAACACATACAAATTTCTTCCTTGTAACTTGATTAAACTTTCCCGTAAGTTGCATTCACATCAACTGACCGGTTTTTGATCCGTTGTACACTGTTTGACCTTAAGTCACTTTAATTGGTCCTCACACGCACACCCCACCAGAGATTTACACTAAATATTAGGGGGCACATCCTTGATATATGGCCTATGCTTCGGCAAAGCACGGAAAAATTCTAAGCATGGGAAGTGACCAAAATGACGGCCAGAAAAAAAAAACAGTGCAGAAAGATAGGAAAAAATACATGCAAGAAAAAAGGGGAAAAAAATCAGAACAAAAACAATGGCTTTCCCAGTACTGCTGAGAAAAAAAAAATAATTTCTTCCTTGCAACTTGGTTAAACTTTCCCGAATGTTCATTTAGATCAATTGACCCGATTACGAAATATGTGGTCTGGGACGTTTTCCTTTAAATGGTTCTTAGATCGACACATACTGCAGGTCGTCATAAAAATTTAATTATTTTTTACAAGACCTTTACAAAGTATTTTAGAATGTTTCATTTAGACCCATTGGGGTTTTTTTTAAAAGAGATTTTTAGGTCTGGGTCCTCAAAAATTGAAAACCCCTCAAATTTACACCCTTCACTAAATCGTCACTAACACATACAAATTTCTTCCATGTAACTTGATTAAACTTTCCGATAAGTTTCATTCACACCAACTGACCGGTTTTTCAAATATCCGGTGTAGATTGTTTGACCTTAAAACACTTTAATTGGTCCTTACACGCACACACCAAATATTAGGAGGTACATCCATGATATTTGGCCTATGCTTCGGAAGTGACCAAAGTGACGACCAGAAAAAACAGTGCAAAAAGGTAGGGAAAATGTATGCAAGAAAATGTTTAAATGTAAAGATGCACTAATTTAAATATTCATCATATAGATTGTTAATACGGTAAACTAATTCTTTAAATGGTCCTCATATCCACACCCTACTTCGGATCGTAACCAAGATTTAAACCGTCTTCTTTATTAAAACATGACAAATATTCTGCCAATTGTCATTTTTATCAATTGATTTATTTTCGAGATATTCAGGTTTGGGAACCAATGGCCTTCAAATGCACACCCGAATTTGGATCGCCAAGAACACTTTTTACTTTCTTTCTTGTAACTTGGTTAAACTTTCACCAAATTTTCATTCATATAAGTTGACTAGTTTTTGAAATATCTGGTCTGGGACTTTTTCCTTTAAATAGTCTTCATATCCACTCCCTATTCCGGGTCGGCACTAAAATGTAATCACCTCATCCTTAGGGCATACCTAACAATCCCTGTATCTGCCATTTAGATATGTGCAACTGTTTCTGAGATATTTTGAACATAAGAAACACGCAGGACCTTAAAATTTAAATTACCCTCAAGCTCACACCCGAATTTGGATCGTCACCAACACTTAATAATGTTTTCCTTTTAACTTGGTTAAACTTTCACACAAAAGTTTCATTCATATCAGTAGATTAATTTTTGAAATATCTTGTCTAGGACGTTTGCTCTTAAATCCATTTAAATGGTCATCACATCCACTCCCTACTACTTCTTTATTGGGTAATACCTAACACTTCCTTTTTTTTTTTAAATTGTACCTGTGAAGCCGTTTTGAGATAATGTCGCATACAGAAATCTACACACAAAACACCAAAACGTGACACATACACACACACCTCCACACCCACCCACCTCCCCACACGAACTTACACGACTGAAAATATATATCTCCTGGCTGAGATATTAAAAAAAAAAAACATATAAACAGGAGTATAACATGGTTGAAGTAATGCCGAATGATAGGAAAGGGGGTGAACCGGGCTCTCACTCCGTCGTACGACGAACCCAACTCCTTTCTCTGTTAGCGCTGATTGCCAGTGGCAGTCTCAACGGATCGTCATTTAAAACGAGCCTTTGCGCGGGCGTCGTCGTTCATCAGGCCCAGTGAGTGCAGCAGTTTCAGTTTTCTCGACTTATTAATAATTTG